ATAATATATAAATATAATTTATATAATAAATATATTATTATAAATAATATAATATATTATATAATATATAATATATAATATATATATTATATATTTATATATTATATATAGAATAGATTTATATTTATAATATATATTTAAATTAACTATAATTTAAATTTTAAATTAAATAAATTTAAATAAGTAAATTTAAATAAATCAATTTAAATAAATCTAATATAAATAAATATATAAACATATAAATAGATAATATATAAATATAACATATTTATATTTATAATATATATATTAAATTACATTAAATATTAATATAAATTAAAACATAAATATATTTCTATTTATAATACATAAACATATAACAAATATATAAATAATATATAAAATGTATAATATATACATACATTTTGATTTAATGTTTATTTTTGAGAGAGAGAGAGACAGCTCATGAGTGTGAGTGGGGAGGGGCAGAGAGAGGGAGACAGAGGATCAAAGAAGGCTCGGGCTTGAACTCATGAACTGTGAGATCGTGACCTGAGAGCTGAAGTCGGACACTTAACCGACTGAGCCACCCAGGTGCCCACGATTTATTTTTAAAGTTTACTTACTTATTTTGAGAGAAAGAGAGAGAGAGCATGAGTAGGGGAGGGCAGAGAGAGAAAGGGAGAGAGAGAATCCCAAGTAGGCTGCGGAGCCTGGCCCTGGGCTGAATCCCACGGTGAGATCATGACTTGAGCCTAAATCAAGAGTCAGATGCTTAAAGGACTGAGCCACCCAGGTGCCCCTCTGATTTCTTTATTTATCTTTTACATTTTATTGTGGTAAGAACACTTAATGTGAGGTCTACTCTCTTAACAAATGTTTACGTGTACAACATTACTATAGGTATGGGTATTTGTGCATTCTTACAAGCTGCCTCAAATCCCTTCTGGAATGAGGATTAAGGGGGTGGGGAAGGGAGGGAGGGAGGGAGGGAGGGAGAGAGACAGAGAGAGAGAGACAGAGAGGTTACTGAGCAAAGATCCTCCAGCCTGTCCACTTTCTCACCTCTCTTGTAGGCAGCTCTCTTCTGTTCCTGGCTGTGCTCCTGTGTTTATTTAACCTGAGCTCATCTGGACAGACAGGTATGTTTGCCTAAGCTGCCTATAATCTGCTCATATTTGGTGGGGACAGCATTGTCCCCTCTCCGTGTCCTGGGGGCCTCCCTCCCCTCCCTAGAACACTGCCCGAGTCTTCCTCCTGCCGCTTCCAGCTGTCAGCCCACTCTGGCCCCAGCTTCCCCTCAGTGACTCACCTCTGCCTGGCTGCAAGGTGAGAGAAGAGGACAAGACTGTCCTCCACTGTCACGGTGATGGGGGTCAGAGGGATGGGGTGGGGATGGCCTGACTCCTTGCTGCTCCCACCGTGTGCCTTGCTGGCTGTGGTAAGACGGAGACTGGCTGAGACTATCATCAGATCATTCGGGTTTTTCTAGATTATTCCAGCTCCAAATAGTCTACCTTCTTGAACCAGTAGTTTTCAAACTGCGACGTGTACCAGAATCACCGGAGAGATTGTTAAAAGTGCAGATCGCCAGGTGCTACCCACCCGCAAGAACAAGGTGAGGCCCGCACACACCCAGGTGACGTGTCTGTGAGTGGTCTTTATGCCACACGCCAGCGAGTTAGCAACTCTAACTTCGTGGCATCCAAACTGGCTCTCCCAGACCGCATTTGGTACCCAGAGGTGACACAGATTCCCATAAGGCTGTGCACTGGAGCCTGTGGCTTCAGGTGAGATAGAAGACCACGGACAGGCTCCAGAACCAGGTGGGTCTGGGGGAGAATCCTGGCTCCACCGCCTTCTGGACGGTGACCGTGTGTGGCAGGCTGGGTCAATGCCCCCAAGACATACAGGTCCTAATCCCTGGAACCTGTGACTACTTTCAGGGGCAAAGGAGATGGCAGATGTGATTGAGTTCATGGTCCTGACTTGGGGGGATTACCCTGGGTGGGCCCTAAATGCCATCCCAAGGGTCCCTGTAAGGGGGACGCAGAGGGAGATGTGATGCCGAAGAAGGAACCCGGACGCTGAAGCAAGATGTGGACGTGCCTTTGGACTTCCGACCTCCAGAACCGTAAGAGAACAAATGAGTGTCGTTTGAAGCCATCAAACAACGGTTGCGGTAATTTGTTAGAGCAGCCACAGGAAACTAATACACCTTGGCTGAGCTCCTTCCTCTCTCTGAGCCTCAGCTTCCTCGTCTGTGAAGTGGGTCAGTGGTGCCTGCCTCCCAGGATGATTGTGGGGAATGAAATAATGGGACGCCTTCCAAGTGCCCAGCACAGCGCCTGGTACCTGGAGGCCTAGCCGCAGGGGGGGGGGGTTACCTGGTAGCAGGATTCACAGAGGGGCCGCCCGTCCTTCTGGTAGAAGCTCTGCCCGGCCAACTGGCGGCGACAGGTGCGGCACGTAAAGCACCGGGCGTGGTATTGCCTCTTCATGGCTTCCACGGCCAGCTCTCGGGGGGACACGGTCTTGTGGCAGAAGGCACAGACGTCTGGGGTAGAGACACAGGTTGTAAGCCCCCCGGTCCCGGAGTACCACACCCAGGCGCTCCCCGGAACAAGGCCCTGGGGGTCGTGAGTGTGGCCTCATTTCAGGAGGAGCAGTAAGAAGGAATGTGACCAGCCTCTGAACGCCTAAATCAGGGCCACCTGGCTGGCTCCATCGGTGGAGCTCGCGACTCTTGATCTTGGGGTCGTGGGTCTGAGCCCCACACCGGGTGTAGAGATTACTTAAAAATAAAATCTTAAAGGGGCACCTGGGTGGCTCAGTCGGTGAAGCGTCTGACTTCGGCTCAGGTCATGATCTCAGGGTTCATGAGTTTGAGCCCCGCATCAGACTCTGTGCTGACAGCTCAGAGCCTGGAGCCTGCTTCGGATTCTGGGTCTCCCTCTCGCACTGCCCCTCCCCTGCTTGCGCTCTGTCCCTCTCTCAAAAATAAATAAACATCAAAAAAAAAAAAAAAAAAAAAGGAGAGAAAGCAAGCAAGCAAGCAAGCAAGCAAGCAAGCCTAAATCAAAGAACACAGCATCAAGGGGCGCATGGGTGGCTCAGTCAGTTAAGTGTCTGGCTCTTGATTTCCGCTCAGGTCATGATCTCGCGGTTTGTGAGTTCGAGCCCTGCAAAAGGCTCTGCCCTGACAGCATGGAGCCTGCTTGGGATTCTCTCCCTCTCTCCCCCTGCCCATCCTCCTCCTCTCTCTCTCTCTCTAAAAATAAATAAACAGGGGCGCCTGGGTGGCTCAGTTGGTTAAACGTCCGACTTCGGCTCAGGTCATGATCTCACGGTCCATGAGTTCGAGCCCCGCATCGGGCTCTGTGCTGACAGCTCAGAGCCTGGAGCCCGTTCCAGATTCTGTGTCTCCCTCTCTCACCCTCCCCTGTTCATGCTCTGTCTCTGTCTCAAAAATAAATAAACGTTAAAAAAAAATTTAAAAATAAATAAACATTAAAAAAAGAAGAACACTGTCAGGACAAACGGGTTGCCATCTGCAAAAATTTAAAGGAGGGTCCACCGTGATACATATATACCCAGACAATTCCAAACGTATCAGAGATCTAAGTGTGAAAAATGAAACCACAGGACTAGAAGAAACCAGAGAATTTATTTCATAACCTCGGGGTAGAGAAGGCTTTTGGTGCATGGTAAGCACTTAATAGCTGCTAATTAAATGGGTAACACATGGGGCCAAGGAGGCTGCGGGCAGTCACGCCCTCACCGGGTAGCAGATGGGGAGGACCTCAAAGGACAATTTCGCAAAAAGATCAAAGTTAATGAATGCACCTACCCTTTGCCCACAGTATCTCCCCTCCCAGAAATTCTCTCACAAACCTACACACAGGCAAAATGACCTACGTGCAGGGCAATTCGTCTCAGCCTTATCTGTCACAGCAAGAAACCACCTAAGTGCCCATCTGCAGGCGACTGGTCGAATGCATACGGCAGGGCCCTGGGAAAGAATACTATGCACCTGTAAAAAAGGACCCACTTTCTGTTCTGATGTGGAACGAGCTCTAAGATGCTGGAAGGAAAGAAAGCCAAGAGCAGAACAGCCCAGAGTTTGCTGCTATTTGTGGAAAAATGGGCAGGGTTGGAGGGGGGGACACGTACTTGTATTTGCTTGCGTATGCATAACCTATCTCGGGGAGGACATGCGACACATTGACAACAGAGGCTGTCGGTCTGGTAGGAAACTGGGTGATACAGGGATGGGGGCAAAGGGGAGGCTTTTCACGGTGTACCTTTTCATGCTTCTTGTTTTGTCTACGTGAGAACATCGTGTGTTCAAAAAACTAAACGGTGAAAAAATTCAAGCCATTCTGCTATCACAGCACATTTTGCAGAGCAATATTTATTTATTTGCTTATTTATTTTTTTTTAATGATTTTTTTTTCAACGTTTATTTATTTTTGGGACAGAGAGAGACAGAGCATGAACGGGGGAGGGGCAGAGAGAGAGGGAGACACAGAATCGGAAACAGGCTCCAGGCTCCGAGCCATCAGCCCAGAGCCCCACGCGGGGCTCGAACTCACGGACCGCGAGATCGTGACCTGGCTGAAGTCGGACGCTTAACCGACTGCGCCACCCAGGCGCCCCGCTTATTTATTTTTAAATGTTTATTTTTGAGAGAGAGAGAACGAGCATGTGCGGGGGAGGGGCAGAGAGACAAGGGGACAGGGGATCTGAAGCAGGCTCCATGCGGCCGGCAGAGAGCCCGATGTGGGGCTCAAACCCACAAACCGTGAGACCATGACCTGAGCCGAAGTCAGACACTCAATCAACTGCACCACCCAGCTGCCCCTATTTATTTATTTACTTAAAAGTTTATTTTTTTATTTTGAGAGAGAGAGAGAGAGAGAGGAAGAGTGAGTGAGTAGAGGAGCAGCAGAGAGAGAGGGAGAGAGAATCCCAAGCAGGCTCCGCACTGTCAGTACGGAGCCCGACGGCAGGCCTTGAACTCAGGAACCGTGAGATCGTGACCTGAGCCAAAACCAAGAGTCAGACGCTTAACCGACTGAACCACTCAGGTGCCCCTTGCTGATCAATATTTAAATGGATTTCAGTTATAAAGGAAAAAAGTTAAGGCAGTAAAAATAAAATCGATGTACGGTTCTAAGGCCCATCACTGAACCGTGAGTTCTCCTACTTTCCCACCTGGAAGCTCATGCTTGTGCAGTGAGGGCCCCCGGGAACCACCCAGAAGCCTTCCACGCCTGAGCCTGTACCTGTGGATGCCTCTCTCTCGTGGAAGCCAACAGGCTCTTCTGGGGGAGGCGGCAGCTCTTCCGAGGGCCTGGGGGGACTGGGCCGAGGCTGGAGTGGAGGCCTCTCTTCCAGGGACTGTGGGGACATGGAAGGGAGGGCAGGAGAGGTGACATCCAGTGGGACCGCACACGGGCCTCTCAGCTCTGCTCCTCCTCTGGTGGCACTGGGCACAATTAGCCCCACTGCTCAGAGGAGGGAACCAAGGCGCAGAGAAGCAAGCGACCTAACGTCACTCAGTAGGAAGGTACCACCGGGGCCCAAAACTACTTCCTTCTGAGGAATCGCCTGGAATTGTTTTTCCTTGGCCTGGAATCCCTCCCATTTCTACAACGGCCTCTGTTAAGGGCAGAGGATTAAAAATATCTTCTCAGAGCTGAAAGGGGTGCTCGAGCGGAAAGAGGGTGGGGAGCCCCTTCTCCAGGGACCTTGAAAAACATGACCAATTTTTAGCAGCTTGAAAGCTTCGAAGAGGGATGGCCCTCAAGCAGGAGCAACCTCCAGGCTTAAGTCCCTGAAAGGCGCAGACTAGCCCTCACCCTCCCTCGGCCCCCGGGGCTCTGTCTGGGGGGTCGGCAGTACCTGTGGTGGGGGTGGGGGTGGGGGTGGGGGCAGGTGCAGCTGCTCTAAGTCCGAAATGAGGGAGGCCCCCGTCGGGGCAGGGGGCTCCTCATCAGGGGACGGCGGCGGAGGTGGGAGGAGGTCCAGGTCCGGGAGTGCGTCCTCGCCATCCAGGGTAGGAGGAGGGGGAGAACACCCTGCAACCAAAAGGGGAGAGAGGCTTGGAGGGAGTCTCTCTCTGCAGGTGGACAGAAGAGGTGTCCACTTTCCCAGAAGGCCATGCAGCGTGAGGGGCTAAGAGCTCAGGTCCAGGGTCACCGAGACCTGGGTTCTGCCTCGGGCTCTGCCACTGACTTGCTGTGGGTCCTTAGGCAAGAGACGCAATCTCTCTGGATCTGTTTGCTTAGTTGAAAAATGGCTATCAATCTTTGCGGGCTGTTGTGAGGGTTAAGTGAGGTGGGACAGGTAAAATGGCGCAGGCTCCAAAAACAGCACCTGTCAGAACCCTCCAGAACAAGGGTGCCGGGGTGGCTCCGTCGGTTAAACGTCCGACTTCAGCTCAGCTCGTGATCTCACAGTTTGTGGGTTCAGGCCCCGCGTCGGGCTCTGTGTTGACAGCTCTGAGCCTGGAGCCTGCTTTGGATTCTGTGTCTCCCTCTCTCTCTGCCCCTTTCCCACTCGCTCTCTCTCTCTCAAAAGTAAATAAAAACATTTTAAAAATGTATAAAAAATTAGCATCCCTTATTCCTTTTTACTTTTTTTCCATGTGGATACTAGAACATTATTTTAATTTATTTTTTAATATTTTTTTAAATTTTTTTTTCAACTTTTTTTTTATTTTTGGGACAGAGAGAGACAGAGCATGAACGGGGGAGGGGCAGAGAGAGAGGGAGACACAGAATCGGAAACAGGCTCCAGGCTCTGAGCCATCAGCCCAGAACCCGACGCGGGGCTCGAACCCACGGACCGCGAGATCGTGACCTGGCTGAAGTCGGACGCTTAACCGACTGCGCCACCCAGGCGCCCCTATTTTTTAATATTTTTAATGTCTACTTATTTTTAGAGAGAGAAAGAGAGAGAGTGCGAGAAGGGGAGGGTCAGAGACAGAGAGGGAGACACAGAATCCGAACTCACAGACCGCGAGATCATGACCTGAGCCGAAGTCAGATGCTCAACCGACTGAGCCACCCAGGTGCCCCATAGAACATTTCAAAATAGGAGGCCTGCATTGGTGACCTGCTTTATATTTTCATTGGCTAGTGCTGACACAGACCTTTTTTGGATCTTGATTCAAAAGATAAATCATCTCATGAATTCTCATTTTGTAGATAAGGAAGAGTGAACTATTCTACTGAATATGCAAGAAATAGACACAAGATACAACACAAATACACAGTAAACGGTATACAAGAAAAGACAGCAAACCTTTCGTTCTGCTATATTCCAACACTTGAAAAGTATTTTTATGGCATGTCAGGGAAAATTAAGAGTGGAGAGAGCATTAGATAATGGCCATCTTTGGACATGCACCCTGAAGAATGCGGTGCTGAAACGACCCAGTTACTGGGGTTTCCTTTAAATTACTTCACAAAAGCTATCAACGCTAGCCAAATTATGGAAGGAGTCCAAATATCCATCGACGGATGAACGGAGAAAGAAGATGTGGTGTGTATACACACACACACACACACACACACACACACACACACACACACGCACACACAATGGAATATTACTTGGGGATGAAAAAGAATGAAATCTTGCCATTTGCAACAACGTGGATGGAACTAGAATGTGTCAGGCTAAACGATAAAAGTGAGTCAGAGAAAGACAAATACCATATGATTTCACTCATGCGGCATTTAAGAAACACAATAGATGAACATAGGGGAAGGGAAGGAAAAATAAGATAAAAACATAGAGGGAGGCAAATCATAAGAGACCCTTCCTTTTTCCTAAAATGTTTTAATGTGTATTTACTTTCGAGAGAGAGCACAAGTGGGGGAGGTGCAGAGAGAGGGGGGGACAGAGGATCCGAAGCGAGCTCTGTGCTGACATCAGCGAGGCCGATGTGGGGCTTGAACTCACAAACTACAAGATCGTGACCTGAGCTTAAGTCAGATGCTCAACCGACTGAGCCACCCAGGTGCTCCAAACCATGGGAGACAAATACAGAGAACAAACTGAGGGTTGCTGGAGGGGGAGGTGGGTGGTGGGGGGGAATGGGCTAAATGGGGGATGGGCATTAAGGGGGGGACTTACTGGGATTCTACTCCTGAAACCATTGTTACGCTATATGTTAACTAACTTGGATTGAAATAACATTTAGAAAAATAATAAAAAAAATAAATCACAAAAGAAAAGTAAAAAAGAACACAGAAATGGAATAGACGATACAAATGTGGCAAAATCTTATCAACTGTTGATACTGGATCCAGGATAAGCAGGATTCCTCTAGCTGCTCTATTCTGTGTATGTTCGAAAATTTCATTAAAAAAAAAAAGAACCCAATAGCAAACGCTAGTACAAACCCAAGAAAAGCACCCCGGCATGAAGTCATGTTCAAGGTTAGCACAGCTTAATGCCTGCAGGGAAGGCTGAGGCCCACGCGGTGGGGGGCAGGGGGGGGGGCCTGGATCCCAGGGCTCTGCACAGGGAGGAGGAGGAGGGCTGGGTCTCACCCAGTTCGTGCCTCAGCCCCAGGCTCTGCTCTGTCCAGGAATGCTCACTATTCTGTGGGGGTGACCTCCACCCCTCCATGCTGTCCTGTCGAGGCACTGCCCAGCTTCCCTGGAGGAGGCGACTGGGGGTCAGGCCCTGAAAATCCTCTGTTGGCTGCCATGTGCAGGGACAGCACTATTCTTAGTGCCCCAGGGAGAGAGGGCACGGAGTCTGGTCCGCCTCTGCCCTCCGTCCCCCTCCTATGTCTGGGGCACAAGGCAGGCCAGGCCTCACAAGGTCAGACTCCCTTCACACCCATGGAAAGCAGATGGAAAGCGCCTGAGGCCCTGCCCCCTAAAGACCTGGGCTCTGTCCCATTCCCTGCTGATTCACGGGGGCACCTCTCTGGGCTTCGGGTTTCTCGTCCATTCGAGAAAGATAATGAGCCCCTTCTGCTTTCTCCCAAGGACTGAGGGACTGTACAGATGGGAAGATTATTCTAGACCTGTGAGTAAGCCACAGAATCATCTGGGGGCTTGCTCAAAGGCAGATGGTGAGCCCCACCCCCAGAGCTTCTGACTCAGCAGGCTTGGGGGGAAGTGCCTGATAATTTACATTTTTGAAAAGTTCCCAGGTGAAGCTGCTGGTTCAAAGGCCACACTTCATTTTTTGTCTAAGTTTATTTATTTTGGGAGAAACAGAGACAGCACAAGTGGCAGAGGGGTAGAGAGAGAGGGAGAGAGAGACAGAACCCCAAGCAGGCTCCGTGCTCTCAGCACAGAGCCAGACACGGGGTTCGAACTCACAAACCATGGGATCCTGACCTGAGCCGAAACCAAGAGTCAGATGTTTAACTGACTGAGCCTCCCAGGCGCCCCACAAAGGCCACACTTTGAAAATTAGTCTTTCAAAGGCACCTGGGGGGCTCAGTCGGTTAAGTGTCTGACTCTTGATTTCGGCTCAGGTCATGATCTCATGGTTCATGAGTTTGAGCCCCTCATCTGGCTCTGTGCTTACAGTGCAGAGTCTGCTTGGGATTCTCTCTCTCTCTGTTCCTCCCTAGCTCTCTCTCTCTGTCTCTCTCTCTCTCTGTCTCTCGAAAGAAAGAAAGAAAGAAAGAAAGAAAGAAAGAAAGAAAGAAAGAAAACAAACCAGTCTTCTACTCCCCAAGCTTCTCCTGCTTACTGCCTTTGGGCTAGAACAACAGTTCTCAAGTGTGGTCCCCCCACGGAAGCATCAGCATTACCTGGATATGTGTAAGAAATGCAAATTCTCTGGCCCCACCGCAGACCTGCTGAATCAGAAACACCCGGGGTGGGGCCGAGCCGGCTCTGTTTGAACAAGCCCCTCATGGAGCTGAGGCTGCTCCAGTGTGAGAGCCTTGCTCCAGATGAGCTCAAGTGAGTCAGGAACCGGATCACGGAGAGGCAGAGGCACGCTCAGGCCTCTCCTGGGACCTGCCTTCTGTCCCCAGCCAGGATAGGAATTCAAGACAGGATAGGAATGAGGCCACCAGGCGGGTGTGCAGAGGACCCCGGGCGATTCTGTTCGAGTGGCCATGAGCAGGAAGAGGAGAAGCAGCTTTTTAAGAGAAGCCGAGGGGTGCCTGGGTGGCGCAGTCGGTTAAGCATCCGACTTCAGCCAGGTCACGATCTCGCGGTCCGTGAGTACGAGCCCCGCATCAGGCTCTGGGCTGATGGCTCGGAGCCTGGAGCCTGTTTCCGATTCTGTGTCTCCCTCTCTCTCTGCCCCTCCCCTGTTCATGCTCTGTCTCTCTCTGTCCCAAAAATAAAAATAAAAAACGTTGAAAAAAAAAATTTAAAGAGAAGCCGAGAAAAACTGACTTCTGACTGTGAGCTGGTGCATCCGTGTAAGTGCACGCGAACATCTAGAGGGGAGTGGGGACCACTGCCAGGATGAAAGGGCCAAAGAGACGTGTGTGGATTGCCCAGGGGACAAGTACTGGATGGGGCATCAGGGGACAGCCTGCAGCAGAGATGGCTCCCGCTTTGTGTTCTGTGCTCAGACCAGACTCATGACCAAGCTGCTCACCTAGAACCTGTCTCACTCAAGTGAGGCCGAACCCCAAGATTCCCCGCGCTCTGCCCGTTTGCCAGTTTGGCAAGCAAAACGGCGGGCCGGCCGCTGCTAGGCACCCCTCCCAGGCTCTGGTTTTGTTGCCACAAAATCCACCCATCCCAGGATCCGATGACCCATGAAAATGTCCCGGAAACGTTGGCGTCTGGGCATCTAAACTATGTTTCCTGGACTCCCTCTCCTATGCAGAAGGGACGTAAGTTTCTTCAACTGGATCACCTGTCCTGATGTGTGAATTCCAGTCATCGTGGTCCTGGTTCTACATGGAAGCACCTGGAAGAGGCTGTGTTCTTGTGATGTGTGGTTAGCAAGGAAAGATCGGTTCACAAGGTTGGGTCGTATGAAGAGGCATGTTGCACGAACGTCCGTGCATTCCCACACGTGTATACGCGTGGCCCTTTCTCCTGCCCCTTTCTGGCCACCTGGAATTGGCAGTTCTACTGGTCTTTAGGTGGTTTGTGTGGTGATGGACGCACAGGGCTGTCCTAGCCTTGCTCGGGGACAGCAGGTCCCAGGGGGGGCCTCCGGAGGGTTGTCCTTGATGTCTCTTTGCTTCCCGATTCCACCTGGTGTCCCATTAGTCAAGACATCCCCCTGCCCCAGGCCCCTGGATTGTCCTTCTTCCTTGTTTCTACCCAACCAACAGCTGAGACTCCACGGAGTGGCAGGGAGAGAGGACCGGAAGGCTCTCTGTCACCACGGCAGCAGAGCCAGGCACAAGGTAAAGAAAAGCCATTTATGACGCAGATCCGTTCTGTGATGGGTGTGTCATATACACGACCAAATTTCCACTTTCCAGAGCAGGGACCCAAGCAAAGAAACAGCTTGCGTAAGACCACACAGCACGTGAGTGGCAGAGCCCGCGAGAGAATAAAACCCCCTCTGAGGTCCTCCGACACGCCCGATGCATTCCTGCCGCAGGGCCTTTGCACTTGCTGTTCCCACGGGCCAGCTCTATCCTGTCATTCAGGTCTTATCAGAGCTGAAATGTCACCTCCTTGGAGAAGCCATCCTGACTACCCCATAAAAAGTTGTACTCCGCACCTCTTCACCGTGTTTTATTTCCGTACAGCACTTGTGTCTCCCCAACATATAATTTTGTCATCTGTTTCCCCCGCTAAGATTTAAGTTTCCTGTAGGCTGAAAGCCTTGTCTTCCTTTACTTGTCCCCAGTGCCTGGCCCAGAAAAGTAACAGCAGGTAACATATTTAACACTTTCTACATGGCAGGCGCTGGCCTCAACGTATGTTTTACTTCTTCCATTCCTCACAACAACCCTCTGAGGAAGGTACTATCATTACGCCCACTTTATAGATTAGGAAACTGAGGAACAGAGAAGAGCCAGGATTCAAACCTAGGCAGGTGGGTTTGCGTCTGCCTGGCACATAGTAGGTGCTTGATGAATGAATGAATGAATGAATGAATGAATGAATGAATAACGTCAGAGTCGGCCCCTTCCTCCCCACCTCAGTGCTGCCTCTGAGCCAACCTTCTGCCCAGCCCCATCACCCTCTTACCTCCATTGGAGAGCTGAGATGGTACAGCTGGCCCTGGGGCTGCGGCCTTGGCAGGTGGAGTCCAAAGGCTGGGCCTCCCTGCCGAGCCAGCCCCGGGTGCCTTGGTGGGAGCAGGGGGCTCCCGGGAGCGGCCAGGCCGGGCCTCGCAAGCTGCCCGCCTCACTTCCTCGGCCACAGCCTCATCCCGACGCGGGGGTGCCAGTGTAATGAAGACAGACGAGGCGACCCTCTTCTCAGGCTTCGAGGCCATCGTCTCCGCTCCTGGTGGTGCTGGGGACAGAGCGGGGCACAGGCTTGGGCAGGGCTTAGGGCACAGGGATGTGCTCCACCTGGACAGACAGACATCCCCAGGGCATCGAGCCTCCCTTCTCCTGACAAGACAGGAGCAGCCGCTCTACTGTGCCAGCGGCCCGGGCCAGCCCCACCGGAGACAAAGGGCCTGGGGACGTCCTTTGGGGGGAGGGTGGGCGTCCACCAGGTGACTTGGCCGCAGGGATGGGACCCAACGGTCCTGACCGCCCCTCCCCCGCCAACCTACACACCTGGGGGAGCAAAGGGCAGCCCTGCCCTGCTCACCTCACAAATGATTAATTTTCCTCAAGTGCGAGGCTCCTGCCGGCCCTCTGGCTCCTCACCCCCGGTGCTGGTCCCAGCCCAGGGCCCGGCCTGCCACTGGGCCACACCCCAGTTACCTCCCTCCCCTGGGATCCAATTCTCCTGGGAGGGAGGAAGTTCCGGGGGTCCAGGCCAGCTCTGCTGGGGGAGGGAGACAGCGTCAACTGTCAGAGCACAGGGGTGGGTTCCAGGAGGCAGAAGGGGACAGGAAAACAATCAGAGCTGCTGTTGATCAAGACCTACCCGGCCCGCGCTGCCGTAAGCACTTTCTGCCCCCTCACTTCTAAATCCTCCCAACTGTTGGGGGAGAGGCACCGTGACTATCCTGACAGATGAGGAAACAAAGGTTCAGAGAGGTAAAGTCACCTGTTCGGGGTCACACAGCAGCGGAGCTGGGATTTGGACGCAGGGCCCAGGCTCTTGGCCACTCGGCCCTGCCACCCCTCTCCCAGCCCAGCCCACAAGCCCGCATCCTTCTCTCTGTGTCAACCTCTGTGTCCAATCAAGTCTTGATTCTATCGTCACTCTCTCACTCTGTCCCATCTCCAAAACCAGGCCCTGGTTCAGGCAGGGGTGGGAGCCCCAGTGGTCTCCATTCCTGCCTCCTGCCTTGATCTTCCTAGACCATAACTCTGTCTCCCTGTTACTCAAAAGCCTTCCATGGCTCCTACTAGCAAATTCCTCTGGCTTCAACTTCTTTTTTGACCACCCTGGACCATTCACCTTTGCTCAACTTTCTCTCTTACCTGCCTTGGCGTGTTTCCACCCCCTGGTTTTCCTCCCCTGCCCCTACCCCGGGGTGAGCGTCAGTTTTTTCAGCTCAGACATCACCTCTCCACGAAACCTCCCCTAATTCCTGACCCTCTCCCTGGGGCAGCTGTCTGCTTCCTCAGGGTGATGACAGCCCATCATAGGACATACTGGCTCACGGTCACCATGTCTGCTCCTACTCCCCAAGTGACTGCATGTGACTTCAGCTATGCCCGCAATCTTTGTGACCCAAGTCCAGAGTGGGCATCAGAGCATGAATCTGGGAGCAGAGCGGCATTCCTGATGTCAAGGGCCCCATTTTCCATCTCCCAGGTTGTGCCTGCAAACAGTAACCTCCAGGGCCAAGGCTGAGGGGGGCCATGCGGGTGGGGGGAAGGCAAGTGACCACATTCAGCCAGGAGGACTCCTCACTGGGCTCCCAGGGATGAAAAGCGCCCTTCTTTCTAACTCACTCTGTGGCTGAGCCACTCTGACATGGCCTCAAAGCCATTGAGAGAGCCATGGAGAGGAGAGTTAACAGAGACCCAGAGAGTGAATCTCAAGAAGTGGGGCTGAGGGCCCCGAGGGACCCTAATGACAGACTTGGAGCCCGAGTGGCCACTCACAAGGCCCCCTCTGTATCTCAAAGCCACTGGCCACCTGGGTCTCTCTTGGTGACTGAAGGAATGACAGGAGCAAACACAATACACGCCCCTCAGTTCCTCTTAAATTGGTTTACACGTTTGGTTAAAACATATAGCTCAGTCTGATTAATAAAAATATCCGTTCTGAATAAGGAACCCAACATAGGAAGAGAGCTTTAAAAGTTCTTCAAAAGTACTTTCCTTTGGGGGCCCCTGGGTGGCTCAGTCGATTAAGCATATGATTCTTGGTTTCGGCTCAGGTCATGATCTCACGGTCCCGTGAGTCTGAGCCCCACATCAGGCTCTGCACTGACAGTGTGGAGCCTGCTTGGGATTCTCTCTCTCCCTCATTTTCTCAAAATAAATACATACACTTAAAAAACAAATAAAGAAAAGTACTGTCCTTTTGTTTCTTGTTCTGGAAGTGATGTCTGGAAGTGTATAGACTTATGTGAGCTGTCCTAGTGATATAAAACCATATGGTTTTGGGGCGCCTGGGTGGCTCAGTCGGTTGAGCATCCGACTTCGGCTCAGGTCATGATCTCGCGGTCCGTGAGTTCGAGCCCCGTGTCGGGCTCTGTGCTGACAGCTCAGAGCCTGGAGCCTGCTTCGGAGTCTGTGTCTCCCTCTCTCTCTGACCCTCCCCCGTTCATGCTCTGTCTCTCTTTCAGTCTCAAAAATAAATAAACGTCAAAAAAAATTTAAAAAAAAAAAAACCATATGGTTTTATCCTTTGCCTTTACACTTTGTTACGAGTTTAAGAGTCTATTTTTGTAAGCGGTTTTCAGAGATTTACATCCAAGAAACAACAACAATGGCACTTGCTGTGTGCCAGGCACCGCGGTACAAGCTTTCTGAGTCTCAAAACGCACCTGAGTCGCAAAACAGCCCGTTACGCCCCCACTTTACAGGTAGTGCCACGTGAGGCCCCGAGAGGTTAAGTGATTTTTCTAGGCCGTCTCGGCAGATGCAGAATTCTAAATGAGCACCATTTGACCCGAGTCCCAGGGTGTCCTTGGACCTGAGATGCCACACTTTTTCCTTCCCTGGATGGTACGGGGGCCTCCAAATCCTCAGCCTGTTCTCACCCCAGAGTGGCCCAGTCCAGATCTATTATCCTGTGGTCAGTCATTCTGGGCTCATCCCCAGACAGAATGCTGTGGATGCCCCCTCCGCCTCCCTCCCACCCTGCTCTGACCCCCACTCCGCCCCAGCCCACTCCTCTGGGAAGTCAGATCTGTGGGTTTCTCGGAAAACATCCAAGGCAAACGTCCTAGTTGGGAGGCCAGATGTTCACAGCTGGGCAGTTCCACCCCCCCCACCCCCACCCCTCCCTGCGGTTCCCGGCAGGGACTTCTTTGGGGCCCCGGGGGGGAAGGGGTCGGGGGAAGGGGTCGAGCTGGGATTTTCAAAAGCCTGTCAGTCAGGCCCAGGGCTGCTAGGAGAGGGAGCCTAGGCCTCCCTCTGGTCCCACTGCCCCCAGGTCACCCCAGAGCGGGGGGGGGGGGGGGGTGTATGTGTGAGAAAGCTCCCTGTGGGGCTACTGGCCAGCCGCACCCAGGGGACCCTCCTCCCCCATCCTTCCTCCCGCAGAGGGCGAATCTGAGATCCAGTTGGGTAAGCGGAGAAAGTGGGAACAAAGGGAAAGAAAGTCATTTCCTGTCAAGGGGAAGGAAGGAGGCTGAGATCCAGCCAGCCAGCCACCCAGCCGGGCTTTAGGCTGCAGCCCAGGGCAGGGGACAGGCTGCCTGAGCTGGAGAGCCTCCCGGTAGTGCCCCCCTCCTTCCCTTCCTTCCTACTCCTTCAAACCCCCTCCGAAAAACTCTGGAACCACCTGTAAGCTTTGTTCTTTAATACTTTGACCAAGCAATCTATGCTTGGTTCAGAATTAGATTTGTGGGGTTGGGGGGTGGTGGCAATGAGACGGTGCCCACCCCCACCGCCGAGGACCCCGCAGCCTTGGGTAGAGGCTCCCCTTCCCCCTCTCCTACCTCAGGGAAGCCAAGGAAGCACACGGAGCTGGATTCACACCGGGCCCCACCTCTTTCCTGCTGGGTGACCCTGAGCAGGTCACTGACCCTCTCTGGGCCTCAGTTTTTTCACCAAGTGAGAATTAAAAAGGTCTGTCCTGAAAGGTGGTTGGCAGACAGGGCACAAGGAGAGAAGGTGCGGGAGATCTCGGTACTAGGTAAGTGCCAAGAGCCAGCTGGTTATCCAAGCTCCTGATGAGGAGAAGCCCCCAGCCGCTGGGCTGGCTTGGGGGGCCTGGGAGGACCGGACTTGGCCTCCGTCGTTAAGAGCAGGAACCTGGGCACTGCCCAGGCTCTTCCCGGGGTCCTCGGGGATGGGCTGGAGGGGGATCCACGCCAAGACGCCCCCACGGCACACCCCTTCCCCGCCCCCCCCCCCCCAGGGATTTGAGGTCCAGAGAGGGGCGGCCCTGGGGCCCCTCCTCTCCCCTCGCCTGACCCGGGCTGGGTAAAGGGGCCCGGAGCTCCCCCGAGCTCCGGAAACCCGGCGCCCTCCCGCAGGCAGCCAAGCTGGGCGACCGGCCGGGTCACGGTGGGGCGCCGCCGGGGACTTTAATTCGATCCATGTGCGGGACGCTGTCCTCTTTGTGCGGGAGCTTCCGCCCTGCCCACCTCTTCCCCTGGCGCCCCTGCTCCCGGGCAGGGACACCGGTCCTCCCCCGGCTCCGGGGACAGAGACCGGGGGCTGGGACGGGAGGCGGCCCCCCGCCCCCCCCTCCCCGGAGCGCCGGGGCTGGGGTCCCGACCCCGGGGGGAGGGGAACGTGGAGGGGGGGAGGGCTCCGGCCAGGGGCAGCCCGCGCTGTCACCTGTGTGCGGCCGGGGCTGGGACGGAAGGACAGGATCCCCCCTCGCCCCGCTTACCTGCGTCGCCCGCGCCCCCAGCGGCTCCGGTCCGACGCCCGAGTGAGCAGAGCCGGGAGCGGCGCGGCGCCTCCCGCCCCCTCCGCCCTCCCCGCCCCTCGGCTCCCTCCGCCCCGCCGCCCCGGCCGCCTTACCATAAAAGGTGAAGCTCAGGGGGAGGGGGCCCGGGGTTCCCGCCGGCGGAAGCGGCCCCTACCTGCCCCCCCACCTGCCCGGCCTCGCCCCGCGCCGCCCCCGCCGCCCGCCCTTTGTTCCCTCGACCCCTCCTCCCGGCTCCAAGGCCCAGTCCCGGGGTGGGAGGCCTCCCCCGCTGCCCACTCCCCTCCCTTTGCGCGCCCTCCGGGGTCCTTGCCCCCTCCCCCTTCCCTAGGTCACCTGGGTTGGCGGCCCCACCTGCCCGGTCGGGTGGAAGGGGGGTGGGGGGTACTTACGTCGGAGTTTGGCCTCAGCTCTCCTAGGGTCCTAAGAGTCAGGTGGACCTGGGTTCCAAGGCCATTCACTAACCCAGTGACCCTGGGCAGTCACTCCGCCTCCTGGAGCCTCCGTCTCTTGTCTGTAAAATGGGAGTGCTGGCTGCCTGGGGTCAGCCTGAGGATAAAAGAGGATAATGATGGTGAGAAGCACCGGGGTAGCCAGTGGTCAGTATATACTGGGCTTGGGGCTTTTCTAGGGGGTGACCCTGGGTGGGTGTCTCAGATGTCCAGGGGAACAGGTCATCTCAGTTTGCTGTCATCACTGCTTGTGGGGATCTGTAAGCCCTTGGGTCCCAGTGTCCCCCGCCCCTGGGGCAGAGGCCCCTTCAGGAAGCCGGCTAGGCAGGGCCCAGCCAGCAATCAGGTCACCTGGTTTGCCACTCCGGTTCCAGTCTCTGACTCTCTCCCACCTCCTGCACTCCCCCCACCCCCTCCTCCAAGCCAAAGTAGATAGAATTTGGAGAGGGGAGGAGTAAACAGAGCCTGGGCCCTGGGACAGGAGATAGAGCCTGGATGGGCCGCCTGGGTCCCTGGAGGCCTCGGGGGAACATTGCTGGGAAAAGGAATCTGGGTCTGATTCAGAGGCAGATTGTTCTTTTGATTAAAGCCACAGCAGCTGAGGCCAGAGGAGTGCTGGACCCAGCGGCATCTGGGGGGAAGAGGCCAGGCAGCCTCTGGCTTTCCCCTGTGGCCCAAGTTACAGTCGCGCTGGCCAGGATGGCTCTGGTGTTGCTCCCGAGGGAGGGGCTCAAGCGCAGGGGGGTCGTGAGGGGGTACTTGGATCCCTCACCTCTCCTCCTCTTCCTCCTCCCAGCCTCTCTAAGTCCCTCACCCACTTTTGTCATCCCCTTTTATGGACCGTCTCAGCCACGTTGCAATAACAACATCGTAGGAGCTACTGACGTCGACATCTGCAGGCGCCCCACCTACAGACCTTTCCACTGAATCTCCAGGACGGCCCCGTGCGGCAGGGCTGGTTCTTTCCGCTTCACCGTTGAGGAGACCGAGGCTCCGAGAGGTGCGAGTCCACACGAGGGGCGAGTGGCAGAGCTGGGTTCAAATCCGAACCAGCCAGTGCCCCTGGGTGCACACACGGCTGTGCTGGGCCTGTGGCCCCTGTGCACCTCCGGCCCTCACAGATGCAGAAGTGGAGGCTTGAGGGCGGAGGGGACTTAGACTCCAGGCTGCCTGGGGCCTGGGTCAGGCTCATTCCCCCCCCCCCCCCGCCCCCTCCCTGCAGCACTTCTTGGAGCAGTCTTCCCCAGGAGGAAGGAGGGGGCTGCTGACTGCCAGAGATGGGAAGGACCTTACAGAGGAAGGTGTGATCCAGGGGTTTGCAGATAGTTTGGGCCCTAGAACCCCCTTTTCCAGCGTTTTGTGACCCAGAAGCTTATTTAAAACAGATAAAAATGGGGCCACCGTCCCTCATTTTCATATGCCCTGAGCCACCTCACTGTGCCCCCTGCACGGGACAATAAGGCACCGAAGGGTTGAGCTGGGGCCTCGTCCAAAGTCACACCAACTCCATCTGGGGCCCAGACCTCTGCACATCTGCTCTGGGTTAAGACTGGCTGGGGAAGGGGGAAGGTCGAAGGGACATGCGGAGGTCCAGCTGCCACCACCTACCTGCTGTCCAGCACCCCCGGCCACCCGTGCCACCTCCGTCTCTGCTCCCGCGTGGAGAGGAGTGTCCTGGTTAAGGCTGTCCCACACCAGCAGCCCGGATGGTGTCAGTGTCACCTTGGCAGGTGCCAAGCTTCCTGCAACGGAAACCCAGGAAGTGCATTGGATGGGAACACACGCCCTTTGTCCGCAGGCTCAGAGAGGCCCTGTTCCCTCCCCGTCTCCATCCTGCTAGCCTTGGACCAGCTCTCTTCCAAGCCATTGAGAAAAGGGCCTCCATCTTTTATTAGGGCTGTGGCATCTGAGACCCCAGGTGGCAGGGAGGGGGTGGGAGAGAGATTGGGGGGAAAGACCCAGGGCAGCGCGGACATTTGCTGCCCAGTCAGAGGGCAACGTGGCACCCACAGAAGAGGGCTTTGATGCAACAGACATGGTGGGGCACCTACTGTGTGCTAACAACGAGTGGAGGAGCCCAAGGGAATCACGTCAGACATAATTAATCCTTGTCCCCACGGAACTTACGGAGAGTTGGGGGAGATCAACATGTAACACAAATTAATGTAATAACTACCATTGTATCACGGTGACCATAATAGAATGGTGATATGTGCCATGATGGAATGAGCAAGGGGCTGCGACAGAGTAAGGGGTACGGGTGGGGGTAGGGGAGGCCTCTCTGGGGGGTGGGTGACATATGGGCTGAGATGAGGAAGGGCCAGCCGTGAGAACAGAGGAGGACACTCCAAGGACGGGGAGGCAGGAGGAAATACATGGGCTTTGAGGTCAGACTTCAGCTTAACTCCCAGAATTCTGGTGCTGGCTATGACCTTGGACAAACTCCTTCCCTCTCTGAGGCTCTTGTTTCCTCACCTATAACATAGGGGAGGGGCACCTGGCTTACTCATTCCGTGGAGCACAGGACTCCTGTGGGGTCATGAGTTTGAGTTACACACTGGGTGCAGAGATTACTTAAAAATAAAATGTATTTTTTGGGGCGCCTGGGTGGCGCAGTCGGTTAAGCGTCCGACTTCAGCCAGGTCACGATCTCGCGGTCCGTGAGTTCGAGCCCTGCGTCGGGTTCTGGGCTGATGGCTCAGAGCCTGGAGCCTGTTTCCGATTCTGTGTCTCCCTCTCTCTCTGCCCCTCCCCCGTTCATGCTCTGTCTCTCTCTGTCCCAAAAAAATAAATAAATGTTAAAAAAAAAATTTTTAAAAAAATAAATAAAATGTATTTTTTAGTTTTATTTATTTGGGGCATCTGGTAGCTCAGTTGGCTAAGCGGCCAACTTCGGTTCAGGTCATGATCTCACGGTTCGTGAGTTCAAGCCCCGTGTTGGGCTCTGTGCTTTTAGCACATAAATAATAAACATAAATAAGTGTTTATTTATTTTTGAGAGAGACAGACAGAGAGAGAGCGTGCAAGCCGGGGGAGGGCAAAGAGAGGGGGGAACAGAGGATCCGAAGCCAGCTCCGTGCTAACAGCAGCAAGCCCCACGTGGGGCTCGAACTCACAAACCGTGAGATCATGACCTGAGCCGAAGTAGGATGCTTAACCGACTGAGCCACGCAGATGCCCCAAAAGTGAAATCTTAAAAAAAAAAAAAAAACAAACAGGGGCACCTGAGTGGCTCAGTCGGTTAAACATCCAACTTTAGCTCAGGTCATGATGTCACGGTTCGTGAATTCAAGCCCCACATCAGGCTCTGTGCCGACAGCTCAGAGCCTGGAGCCTGCTTCAGATTCTCTCTCTCTCTGCCCCTCCCCTGCTCACACTCTGTCTCTCTCTCTCAAAAATAAACATTAAGAAAATTAAACCAAAACAAAAACCAGAGGTCCTGCACTGGATACTCTCAAATGGGGACAGGAATGCTTCCCTTTGCAGACCTGTTGGGGACGGAGGCACTGAAAGGGTACCCCCCAGAGCCTGGCCCATAGTTAGTGACCACCAAGTAGCAATGGCTATTCTCCCATCACCCTTGCCTGGTCTCCGGAGATCTCGGTCCACACAGTCCATATGCTCTGGAACTAGATCCAGGAACAGGGACAAGTTTTCCTGTGCCACAGCCCTCACTGGCCCAGAGACCTTGGGATGTCAGGACTCAGCAATTCCTGCAAAATGCACAAGTTGGGGTTGGAGGTCTCAGGTAGCTGCATATACAAATCACATGTGAAGCAGTGTAGTGATGGGTAGTAAGCAGTTAGGAGCTTGGGCTTTGGAATCAGACCTATCTGAATTTGGATCTTGGCTCTCCCGCTTCTTAGCTCTGTGATCTTGAGCAAGTCACGTAATCTTTCTGTACCTTGGGTTTTCTCCTGAGGAGACAGAGAAAACCATTCCTTCCAGGTGGTTCTGAAAGCTGGGCGGCGGTGGGGGGCGGGCAGATAATGCATGAAAAATGCATAACACAGGGTTACAATTCCTCAGTAGAGAATCAGCGTATGAACAGCTGTATTAACAGCTCGTGGCAAGTGAAATGCACATATGCTCATCTTCCTGTACCCGGAAGCAGTTGCCTGGACAAGACGGGGAAGTGGGCCTCTTCATTCCCTTCCTCCCCTGAGATGGGCTTCTGCGGTTCCTGCTTCGGCTGCCTGAATCGGGGCCTGCCTCTCCATCCCCTTACTCAGATGTGTTCACTGATCCTTCACACCAGGAGGGCACGACTGAGACTCAGTTATAGTCCCTTGGCTGGGTGGGGTAGGGTGGACTAGAGGCCACGGTCAGCCTCTGGGCTACATGCCCCACCTCCATCATCTGTTCAGTCCACTCGACAAATGGACTTCATTTGAACCCAGGTAGCCTGGCTCCAGGCAGCTTTACTGAATGGGCCCAGTGTGTAGGGAAAACGTTTGAAAACCAAGGGAGGGGAGAGGGGCACCCGGCGGGGGAGGGGGCTCAGTCAGGGTAAGCATCTGACTCTTGATTTCATCTCAGGTCATGATCTCATGGCATATGGGTTCGAGCCCCACATCGGGCTCCACGCTGACAGTGTGGAGCCTGCTTGGGATTCTCTCTCTCCCTCTCTCTCTCTCTCTGCCCCTCCCCAGCTTACTCTCTCTCAAAAACAAACTTAAAAAAACCAAAGGGGAGCAAACCGGGCCACATTATAGCCACATAAATTCCCCTCCTCTCAGGCCCCAAGCCTATGTCCACTTGGGCCATGCAGGGCCCAGCTTCCCAGAGCTGGCTGTGATAACATCGTCTGGGTCTTAATCCCCTCCTGGTCTGGGGGCCTGAGCTGGCACTGTCTGGGCTGGTTGGTTCCCACGGCCAGACCATTGCTTAGCAAATCAGCACGGGCTCCATGGAGGGGGCCAGAGGCTCAGCAGGCTGGGAAGGCCCCTCTTTGGCCCTGGCCTTGAAGGTCAGAGCCCCTTCTGTGGGCAGAGAAGAGGAAATCCTGGTGTCCGTCCCTTTGGGGGTCCCCGAGGTTGCCCCAGGCCCTTGGCTGCTTGCCAAGGCTGAGCCCCTACTCAAACACCTCACTGGTCCCATCTCCCTGCTTGAGCCCCCACCCCCACTGGGAGCCCCCACCCTTGGCTTCATCTTTCTTAGCACCCCCAGTTCCTGAGACCCCTTCTTCCCCCCAGCTGGCCTCCCTACTTCTCTCTTAGCCAAGGTGGGTTTACTGTGAGTGTAGGCCTCTCCGTGGTAGGGGCCCCTGTGAGGGTTGCTGGGAGTTACAGAGTGTTCTAGGAAGGGAGGTAGCCAGGTCGCACTCAGGAAGCATTTTCCATTCAGTGCCCTTGGCACACCGCCCAGGGAGATGTCAGAAGAAGGCACCCAAGTCTCCAGGCCTCCGGCAATTTGGTATGCTTTCTCTTTATCATTCTGTCACTACCCACTTCAATGCAAATTTTGTATTCTTTTTCCTAAAGGGGGCCCTTAACATTGGACTGGCCCTGCCTTACTCCTTACAACCCATCTCCACCCTGATGGCCAGACCATCTCGCTAGAGCAGGATGTGATCCTCACGAGCCCCCCCTCGCTGCTCCCCACCCAGCCCTTCCGGGGCTCCTGCCGCTTCCAGGGAGGAAAATGCCAAGCCCTCCCATGACCCTGGGCCAGATGCATCTCCCTCGCGCCCTCTGCTCAGCCACGGTGGCGGGGGGGAACCTTTCTTTAGTCCCTCAGGCATCTCAGCACCTGGGCTGCCGCACCACGTCCCCCCACCCCCCCCCCCCCCCCCCGAACGTTCAGGACTCAGTGTCAACAGCTCCTTGTCGGTTAGGCCTCCCTGAGCCCACATCACACACATCATAACACCTGGCCTTCCCGTCAACGCCAACCGCACCTGCGTGAAGGGCCTGCTTTGCCCCAGATGCCTCCCATCTCACTCACCCAGTTCTTCAGGCCGAGAAGCCGAGAGCCCTGGATTCTTCTCATTCTATCAAACCCACATCTAATTGATCAGGAAGTCCTATGGGCTCTTCGAAATACATCCATGTCCAACCACTTCTGACTACCTCCACGGCTACCATTTTGGTTCAAGCCCTGGGTTCTCGCCAGGGTTAATATCATCTCACCTGGGTAATTTCACATGCTTCCAAACTGGCTTGTTTCTGTGCTATTCTACAAACAGCAAGGGGAGGAGTCCTTTAAAAATGTCAGTCACGTGGGGCGCCCGGGTGGCTCAGTCGGTTGAGTGTCTGACTTCAGCTCAGGTCACGAGCTCGCGGTTCGGGAGTTCCATCGGGCTCTGTGCTGACGGCTCGGAGCCTGGATCCTGCTTTGGATTCTGTGTTTCCCTCTCTCTCTGCCCCTCCCCTGCCTGTGCTCTGTCTCTCTCTCAAAAAATTTTAAAAATGTTAAATAAATTTAAATAAATAAATTTTTAAAAATTAAATAAATTTAAATAAATAAATTTAAAAAAAAAATTAAAAAACCCAAAACACTGGGCTACAAAAAGACTGTGACTTCTGTCCTGCATGTCTTTTCTCTCTCTCTCTGTCCCTTACTGGCTTGCTCTGAGGGACACCAGCTCCCCTGTTGGGAGCTGTCTATGGGGAGGCCCACATGGCGAGGAACGAAGGGAGACCCCTGGCCAACAGCCAGAGAGGAGCTGAGACTCCCAGCCCGGTAGCCTGTAAGAAACTGAATCCTGTCAACAGCCACGTGAGTGAGCTTGGAAGTGGACCCCCCCCCCCCCGCCCCGGTCAAGCCTCACGATGTCACCGGAGCCTTGGCCCACGTCTTGACTGCGGTCTGTGAGGAGACCCTGAGCCAGAGGCCCCAGCCAGCCTGTGGGACCCAACCCACAAAAAAGCGCGAGACAGTAAGTGTCTATTGTTTTAAGCTGCTAACTTTTGGGGCCGTTTGTAACACAGCTGTGGATCACAAATACACTCACCTTAGCTCGTCCCAGTCTCCCGCCGACAGAGTGACTTTTCCTTGCGGCACAGTTACTACAGGCCAGAGCCTGGCCCCATGCAGATGTTCAATAATTACTTGTGAATGAGTGACTAGGGTAAGTAAGGCATGCAAGATGCCCAAAGGGACAATGCCATAGCTCAGAAGGGGCGAAGTGGGAGTTCAGGAGAGGGGAGGCCGGTTCACCCCAATCCAAGCTGCCCGGGAGGCTACTACCCCCTTCTAGCAGAGACTGGGGGCCCCGGTCTCCCTCCTCTTCGGAAGAATGCTGGTCAGAGCGCAGGATTCGAACTCTCACGGTCTCTGAGAGAAGTCCCAGCTTCATACCCCATTCCAGACCATACCTTCTGGATTTCCTCTGCTCTTTGGACTTCAGGCCTCTTTCCCTTTGTTTGGGATGGAGATTTGCTAAACGCCTCACTTAGAGTGATCTAATTTTTATACCCTTGTCAGACTTTTTCATAAAAATAATTTAATAGATAAGAAAAGAATCCTAGTCCAACTCACGTGGCCCATTTTTTTTTGTTTGGAAATGGTCCCTGTGTCCATAAAAAGGAAAGGACTGCCAAATCCAATCCCCCTCCCAGCCCTGTCCCCACCGGGTCCCAGGCTGTGCTAGGGGCCAAGAGGCCAGAGAACCTTCCAGCAAAAACGTCAGGCCCGAGTTGGAACCTGGTGCCCATTCTGGGTGTGGCCAGGGCTGGCTGGGTGCCCAACTAACTGAGCCATTTCCTCCCAGACTGGGACAAGTTTCCTGCCCAGAGGGAACTGAACGCACTCCCAGGCAGAGGGGGGCTGGGTCCTGGATTGGGGGAGGGGCAGCCACAGGCATTTCCCCCACCTCAGCTACTTTGGGGCTGAGAGGCCCATCTGGGGGTAGGGTGGCAGAGAGCAAAGGGTCAGGGATTAGGCTTGGACTGTCATGAGCTGAAACCACCCTGTCCTGCCCCATGTCCCAGGTGTGTCCCAGGTGTGTCCCAGGGTGGGGAGCGGAGAATCCTACCCCAGACTCTGTCCTGAGGCAGTAGCCTTTGGGTGACCATGGTGGCCTTTGCTGAGAAGCAGGGCTTGCCAGGACCTGGAATCCTCCGAGAATCTTCTCCCCTCACCCCCTCCCTGACGTCTCCTCCCCCCGTCCTAGACAATCTGACCCTCACAACCCCCAGGAGGCCTGGAAGCTGGGAGTCTCCTTTGCCCTGTGGGACCCCTCCTGGGAAAGGGCCCTGAGCTGGGCCTTCAGTCCCTGTGGAAACTGCCCTGTGGGCTAGATGCTCGGGCCAGGGTAACATGGCTGTGATGGAGCATCAGATTACCCTGCTCACAAGGTGGCTGTAACCATATTCCAGAACCTTCCAGGAATGGACCTGCCATATTTTATGTGCACCTCGTTGGTTTCCGTGGCCCCAGTTCTTCCAACAAGAGGGGGGTAGCAGGAGGCATGCAAAGCACTTGAGCTCTGGGAGTCAGGCCACCTGGATTCAAATCCTGACTTAGCCACCAACTAGCTCAGTGACCTTGAGCAAGTTACATAACCTCTCTGAGCCTGTTTCTGAATCTGTAAAAAGGGATAACAGTACCTGCTTCTTGAGGCTGATGTCAGAACCAAACGAGATCATAAAAGTGCTCGGCATAGTGCTTGGCACATGGTCAGCACCCTACACATGGCAATTTTTCTTCTGACGGGCTCAGAGAGTGGCAGCGAAGCCCCCAAGGACACACAGCAAGTAAGCAGAGGAGCTGGTACCCAACCTTTTCCCAGATAGTCTGTTGCCTCCCCGGGCTGGGCCCTGCAGGAAATACGAGGCTGAACGAAGCTGAAATGGCAAGGATCATCACGGTCTTAGCGGAGCCTCCCTTTAGCTGCTTCTCAGCCTAGGATGGGACGGAAGGTGGGCACCATCCACCCGTGACCGCAGGTGGGTGCTAGACCACGCGTCCAGGTTAGACCACATCCCCATGGCTTCCTCAGCCACCTCAGTACTGAACTCCCCAACACCAGGGGACCCAGCCGGCATGTTTCCCCGGGGCCCGCCCCAGCCAGAGGAGTTGTGTGGCCTCAGAAAAGCCTCTTTCCCTCTCTGTGTGTTCATGATTCTTTAATTTTTTTTTTAACGTTTTATTTATTTTTGAGACAGAGAGACAGCATGAACGGGGGAGGGGTAGAGAGAGACGGAGACACAGAATCGGAAGCAGGCTCCAGGCTCTGAGCCATCAGCCCAGAGCCCGACGCAGGGCTCGAACTCATGGACCGCGAGATCGTGACCTGAGCTGAAGTCGGCCGCTTAACCGACTGAGCCACCCAGGCGCCCCTGTGTGTTCATGATTCTAACGCAGGTTGAGAAAATCATCTTTATTGTTGTTCATGGAGAGGGCGAGGGAGGCCAGTAAAGGAGAAGCCATTCTGAGAACGCAATTCTCCCCCATTCCCCCAACCCCCCCACCAGGAAGGCAGGTTTGAGGGCGCTGCATCCGTTCTCTGTCCTGAGAAAAATAGGGGTTCGCTCAGTGGCCTCCAAGTGCCCCCTTCTGAGAGCTCTAGCCCCGAGCCCTCTTCTCCCTCCCAAGAGCCCCAGTGCCCACCTTGAACTCCAAGTGGGGGGCAGGGCTGGCAGTCCTGGGGTCAAGACCTCCAGATGAGCCTGGGTGGGCCTGAGACAGACCCCCAAGTCCTTGCCAAGGCAGGTCAAGAGGGGGCTGTCCCCTGGGGCTGGCCAGGTGCTGAGGGCTGGGGCGGGGGCTGCCTTGGAGCTGACACTGAAGGCCTCTGGGATGGAAACTCCTGGGGGAAGGTGGGGAGGAAAAGAAGAAGGACACAACTCAGCTCCCCCATCCTCTGGTGGGGGAGCTTCAGGCCCTGCTTCCCACGCAGGGGTCAAGGCTTAACACCAGGTGAAAGAGGGGATTTCAGCCCCTTCTGCCCCCACCCCGAGAGAGGTCACCCCAGCCCTTCTTGAACTCGGGCCTGTGGAGGCTCCTCGGGCTGTCTGGAGCGGGGCTTCCGTGTCTGGGGGACCCACGCGGTGAAGCGCCCACCTGTATCTGGCAAAGGTCCAGCAGGGTACGGACGCTCGTCAGGCACCAGAGCTCGCCCAGCAGGGACATAAGGACACCCAGGAGGTCCAGCCAGCTGCCCACGGTCAGCAGCAGCACGAAGAGGCCGCCCATGCGCACCAGCACCGTCTGGACCTGGCTCTGCAGGCCGGGGTTCTGCCGCTGCTCCTCTGGGGGGGCAGGGCACCTGTCACCACCTGCCCGCCCTACCTGAGGTCCGGCCTGGGACAGGGCCTGGACTCCCGGCTGCCCCCGACCTTCCTCAGTGTGAGCGTTCCCCTCCCCTTGCAGCCCCCTGCCTCCCTCCTCCCTCACCCCCACTCTCTGAGCACCTGGCTGGCACCAGGCACTTCTTCCTAACCAGGCCTCGCTGTCTACCCCCGAGCCTGCCCGCTGCTGCGCTCTGCCTGCAGTCAGGGGAGGGAGGGGGGGCACGCCAGCTCCAAGCTGCAGGCCCTGTCCTGCCTCCACTGCCACCTCTAATCGGTCGGGAAGCCCCAGGGACTCTTTCTGCTAAGTAGAGCCCCACCCGAACCCACCTCCCCACTCCCGCTGCCCCACCCAGTCCCAGCTCCCGGCTTCTGTTCTTGACCTTGTGGGTCAAGTGTCTACTCCATGTCCACTCGGCAGCTAGTGACCTTCTAAACACAGGAACGGGACGTCCTGCCTGATCTGAGCCGTGTCCTCGTTTCGTCTCTGGCTCGCTCCCGTTCCTTACTACTCCCCAGCATGCCAGACTCACTCCCACCTCAGGGCCTTTGCACCCGCTGCTCTCTGCCTGACTGCCCTTCCCTGTCCCACCACCTCGACCCCGTCTCCGCCCTGCAGCCAGGCGGTTCTTCCCATAGCCCACATCTGGCCAGG